ATCGGATATCGGCCAAAATCCCAATATCGTGCATCACTAGTTAAAACCTTTTTCTAGTTTGGCCCTCTCAATATAGCAACAGCAATGGATTATCAGGTGATAAAATAATATCTGTTTAATCTGATCAAGTCATGTCAAAGATTCCTTATACATAAAAATCTTCTTAATCATTCTGTCAAAAAATACGTAACTAATGGTCCCAAACAATCAATGCACACAGCTGGCAAACATCCTTAAATCCAAATTTCTGATTCAGCTTTTTAACTTAGCGAAAAAAAAGAACCCATTATTGTTTTGTTATCAGACGTCACCGAGCAATTAAAAAACAAACTACTAGAAGTTGTATTCAAATTAAACAGGGAAACCATCTAGTAAATTTCAATAGTTATCTATGAATTCTGCCTGTTTGATGTCTGATACCTCAGATGTTACACAGAGGGCCACTTTTCGTAACCGTTTGTTAAAATGGGAAACACGACAAAACATGTAGTTTAAGTGAGGAGGATTTATGTTAATCGTCTTTCGTCATGAAATGGCTACAAGAAAAGTTATTCATCTGAACAACATTTAGAGAGGGAGGGATACCTTTATTTGAAATCCAACTGGAATTGTCAAACAGGGCCAGACAAAGATAATAGCGATTCTTGATCATAATAGAAGACTTGTATGCAGCCCAGTCCTAATAATAATTATCAGAACGTTGACCTACACTAGTAAATGAAACTACAAGAAACTGTCAAAAAAAGATGTGACTTTTTTCATACTCTGAAGAAGCCGTACATGTTCCATTTCTGATGGAATAAGGCTTAAGTGGTTTAATGTCTGATTAAATCATATCAAATATAATTTAAAATTCAAGGATTGTTTCCTAAAAAAAAAAAAAAATACTAAGCCCACCAAATGTTTGGAGCAAAGGGTAGCTCAAAGTGACTGGGTCAATCTCTGGATTTAAGATGTGTTTACAGTTTAGTCCGCATTTGGAGAGGAGAGGCTCTTAATCACAGACTATGCTAAAAATACAGATTTGCAATGACAGCGAAGCTAAGAAGCAGAGGACAGAAGCCAAAAGGCTTATTTACAAAAGCAGAATTTAAGAAATCTGTTGAGAAAGATTGACAAACCTGTTCTCCAGCTTGGGATTCTCCGATGATGAAACGATCACCTGGGCCATCAGCCGCTAAAGAGAAAGAAATTTGAATATATTAGGCATGCAAAGTGATTAAAAATACGAGTGATTATTCAAGAGGTTGCCTCTCAAAACGAATGGATGTTTTTTTTTATGACAGGTGCAATGCAGCATTTTTGTGTGAAGAGGAAAACATTTTAATGTGTTTAAAATTAGAATTTAAAATGCATTTCTTACTCTAGCTTATGCTGTGGCTTGCAAAAGTATTCAAACCCCTTGAGCTTTTTGATATCTTATCACATAACAACCACAGCCATAAATAGATTTTATTCTAATCTTATAGTAAAGACCAAAACAAATTGGTATACAACTGTAACTGGAAAGAAAATTTGACTGGATTTTTTTTAACCTTCAGCAGTTGCTTGATGCTAATAACAGAATAGAGTCCTCCTCTGTTTAATCTAATCTCATTACAAATACAGCTACTTTGTCACGGTCTCAGAGGTTGACTAAGAGAATATTGAGGAACAAAGAGCCTCTTGAAGTCCAAGGAACACAACAGACAGGTCAGATATAAAGTTATGGAGTTATTTAAGGCTGGTTTAGGCTATAAAAAGACATGAAAACTTTGAACATCTCATGGGACTCTGTTCAATCCATCATCCAGAAAACAAAAGAGTATTGCACAACTCTGAACCTCTGAAGGTGACTTAGGAAGAACCACAGAGATCCACAGTTCTGGAGGGGGAATCTCTCATCAGTCATGTTCTGCACAAATGTGGTCTTTATGGAAGAGTGGCAAGAAGAAAGCCATTGTTAAAAGAAGACCATAAGAAGTCCAGTTTGCAGATTGCCAGAAGCCGTGTTGGAAAAACAGCAAGAATGGAAGAAAGTCCTTTGGTCAGATGAAACCAAAATTTAACTTTTTGGCCAAAATGCAACAATCTGGAGAATTGATACAAGACATCACTCTGAACACCGTCCCCAATGTGGTGGTGGCAGCATCATGCCTCTCTTCAGCAGGGATAGAGAAGATGGTCCAAGCAAAACCTCTCATGTGTTAGAACGGCCCAATCCAACTCCAGACCTAATCCTATCCAGCACCTGTAGCAGGAACTGAAAACTGTTGCAACCAAACACTCTCCACCTAATCCTACTGAATTTGAACTGTTTAGCAAAGAAAAATGGTCCAAAATTTCAGTCACTAAATGTGCAAAGCTTGTAGCGACATACCCTGTAAATCTTGGAACTGTAATTCCAGCAAACGGTGGTTCCGGAAAGTACTGAATAGTTTTGCACAATCTCTTTGTGTTGATCTTTCACATCTAATTGAAATAGAAAAAATAATCTTTTTGTTTATAATGTAACAAAATGTGGACAAGTTCATGGCGTATAAATACTTTTGCAAGTCACTATATTTCTAAGCTGACTGAAGGGGGATAGATTTTTTTTTAGAAATCTATATTTTAATTCCCATCCAGAGTAGTTTCTAGCATATAAATGGTATGATGAGCAAAGTTTGATAAAGATGAAAGATTATAAGGAGTCGAATGGGAGAAGAATTGCTCGTCAGCCATAATTCACGGTTCCTACCTCTCACAGCATATCCATCCTTTACCGAAGCCGGAAAGGGTGGAAGGTTGTCTTTGGCATAAACGTCCTGAGCCAGAACACGACCCATCCCATCTGCAGAGAAGAGAAAATAGCATACATGAGAGGTGAGGAGGAAACGGTTTGAGTGGAGGAGGTAGGAAGGATGGGAGGAAAGTGACAGCTGGAGAGAAGCAGATGGAAAGAGGGTGATGTGCATCCGATTTAGATTGTGATACAGAGAGATGTGTGCTGAAGGTGTTTTTATGTGTCTTTCTACTTCAGGTCTCTTAAAGTATTTTTGTCTTTTAACTTACAAACATTATTGGAATAACAGCTTAATGAAAGAAAGACAAGCAAAAAAGAAAGCTACAGGTAGGTTGAGTTAAAAAAAAGAAAATCAACAAAAATAGCTCAAGCTGTGTGGGTGTTTAATATAAATATCTGAGCTTTGATATCAAAGCAGAAAAAACACTGTCTGCAACTGTCATGGAGGTACTAAACACCTGTTATAACAAGGTGGTTTAAATGGTTAATCTTAACAAATCTTCAGTTTATGTCCCATCTCTTAACACTTAATCTAAGAAATTATTTTTTTGTCCCCCCCCAATATTTCCTTCCAGTCATACTTAAACAGCCTGTTGGAAACATATACTGAGGCTGGGTCGATGTTAAAAATAGAACCGATGGGACGTATTGCTGCATCAGTTTGATAAAATGTTTTTACAACCGATAACCAAAACATCTTGGTATTTGTTTGCAGCTTGATTTTAGTCAGAATAGATTGAGTCATCATGCAACTAGATTAAAAGCTATGATTGGTTTCCTTAAAACAGAACTATAAAGATAAATTAAAAAGTAAAGAAATACAGTCTACATAGACAGCAAAAAAAAGAATATATTATATATATGCAGGCTTCTCTCTATTCAGTAGAGGAGCTTCTTCAGCTTCTGCATTTATAAATATTTCATCTTCCTGATGTTACCTCCCTGCTGTTGTCTTGTTCTGAACTCCATTAATGTAAATCGGGTAACTGAGGCCCCTTAAATCCAACATATGGTTTTAACTTCCCTTTCGTTATTAAAGTCATGTGTGTTGAAGTCATTACTGCAAAGTGTCCTTTTTTCTATATTGTTTTTGTAAAGATTGGGTCTGAGTTCAGCCTCATGGCCTCAGCTTGGTTTGATGTCCCTCTTCACAAGAGCTTGGCCTGTTTTGCCAGATGGATAACTTGACCCATTAAAGCTAATGTACATATTTGTGCAAGACTGTAGATTATAAAAATATTTTTTTGTTGTGAAAAATCTGAATCTGTCCTGTGTATCCCTTTAAGTGTTTTTTGTAGATACGATGCCATTTGCTTTAAGTGTTGACTATGAGTGTCAATTTACGACAACAATGGTATCTTTAACATATTGGTAGATTTATGGTACAGTGGAGGATGTTCATCAAAATAAGTGGTCCTCCTAATTGTCAATCATTCTGGTGATATATTTACGTAAGGCCGTCCTACGTGCTCGCTCCCATTTTCACTTACAGGGGGTGAGTCTGACACAGTGGAAAAATTGGAAATCTTCTTTTGGAAAGTAAGCCTGTATGAGCGATGAAAACAGCAACTTATGCACGAGGAGAAATGGGCTTACGCACGCTCTTGCACGTTCTCGCATGCATTTAATAGGCGTTCCCCCTCGGGAGCAGGTACAGGGTTGTGCATGTGAATTTTTTTGTGGAGAGTGCAGGTCTTTTAGAATTCCAAAAATCCTCCACTATACCTTTAAGCTATGATGCTGACTGCGTAAGGATGCAACTCAAGATTATTTTGCAAATCGATTCATTTGTTGATTATTTTTTAGATTAATCGATTCATAATCTAATATTCAAAGGGTCCTAAAATAAACTTTTTATGGAATTAAACCAGGTATAACTAAAACCTTTTTTACTTGAGGAGTCCTGTATAGAGCATAATGACAGACGGAAAT